ATAGGATATATCTATTGCAAAGCATATTTTTATTGGTGATCCGCTCTCGAGCGGATCACCTCTTGTTATTTTTATTTATCTTTTTTTTTTTTTAGTTTCTACTGTTATTATTAATAATATTATTGAGGACTGTAAAATGTAATTGAACACGATTTCCTACTGAATACTGTAATCCTGTTTATCAAACAGACATTTAGTGTTGGAATTTTGGAAATTGATGCAATTTTGAAAAAGCAAATTGGTTATCTAAACGTTATGTCGATAATTGTATGGAGTGATATTCAAACGATAAATCATTGTCAGTATTAACGTGTGCGTACACCATGCTAAAAATTAAATTACTCCTATTCTCACATCAACTCAGGACACAGCAAAAAAAAAGTGATATACCCAGATGTAGATTACAAAAATGTGTAATTAACAATAATTAATCTACCAATGTGAAGATGGAATAGGTTCGCTGTCAAAAATTACCACAACTTTGCACCTTTTGAGAAGCCAAGGGTCATCTTAAAACAATGTAATATCTGAGCATATTTTTGTTAAAGGACTAGGTTTAATTAAATTAATGCCTCTTCCACTTTGGTTTCACTTTGTTGATTAGGTTCATTCCCTTCTCTTGTAATCAGCAACTGTGGACACAGCTGTCGATTCAACTTCCTAATGAGCCATCTTCAAAACGCAGGCGATAAAACAGACGATACTGGCTGGTTGTTAAATCTTCCACACGTCACAAGTATCGCAACATCTCAAGGGTGCTTCTGCTGTTGTCATGAAATACATTGGTATGGAGCACAATAAAGCTAGCTACCTAAAACCTAAACAGAAGGAGAAACATTACTGATCATATCCTTACATAGAAAATAATTATAAATAAATTAAAATAAATCAGTGCCCATGCGAGATAAGCATTTTTTTTAGATTTTTGCTCTCTAGGGAACGTGTGCAGTTTCTTAAATTTCTTACGACTATCATATTTGTTTACACTTGCACGTACAATAGTTATGATTTATGAATGTCAATGTCATATTTTGTATTTCTAAATTTAACTGTTTAAAGTAAAATATTACTATTAGACACAAACTATTTTATCAATTTCTTGATCCTCATGATATAACACAATGCTTTCACAAACCTCTTAAAAATGTACACGCTACCCAAACGCGCCAGTGGATTTAGTAGGCCTACCAGTAAGCTTTATGTTCCCTTTTTCAGTTATATGCCTAAATAATTTATATTTCATTATTGGTTGTTTTACTATACCCTCACAGCAATGTAAATGTAACAAACACAGAGAAAACGAAAACAGCTGAACTGGCTTGCAGAGGATAATGACAAGATATGCACAAATCTGAGACCCGGGCTACCACCAAATTCACACAAAACATCAAACTAATATTAACACCAAGTTACATTTTACTGAAAAAAGTAAATAACACAACGAAATAGAGGAGGAATAAAGTAATCTTACGTTAATGGGTTGAGGAGAAGAAGTATGGAAGACATAAAATAAATCGGTAGCATAAGACTAGCAGAGAGAGAGAGAGAGAGAGTGGGGAGAGAGTGGGG